TATATATATCTGGTTTTTAACAGAATCTATTGGATTAAGAACATATCTTTTTAGACTTTAAGAAACGGAATAAATCCTCATTCGTCACAACAATCTCTCGTATAATTTAGGGTGGCATTCTGTTTCTATACATCCTCTAATGAATTCCAAAGATATACTGGCTTCAGTGAGCCTTGAGTTAAACTTCAAAAACTCATTGAGTGCCTTAAATGATTACAAAGGGCTCCAGCTATCAAAGTGAGATCATCGTCCCACGAAATAATGACATATCATTGAAAAATGGAATTAAGAGAAATAGGGATGGTGTTTATCACAAAATTTCGTGACATTGCTGAATATCGGGATTTTCTTGATCCCATTATCTATCTAGGTGAACACGATAACAGTATACACAATTTTACACTCTTTGCATCTATAAATCCTAATTTAGAGGGCTTCTGATACAAGTAGATGATTAGGCATTACGCGTTTGCGAAGGTACAAGGAAAAATGTAGCTAAGAAAAAGCATGATTTGTCTTAATTTCATATTACCCACATAAAGTAAATTGTTCTTTTCTTCTGTTTTAATAAACCTGAATAAGTGGGTGCATTTTTATGCTGATTCAATACCTGTTGTCGTAACTTTTGTTTTCATTTGGGTTAATACTCCTATGGAGTCATTCTAATTTGTCTCATCAAGTAATGCGTAGTTGACCTGACCATTCTGTTTACAGTTATACATCTAAAATAAAATAAAAGTTATACTTATTTTTCATGCATCGGACTCATTCAAAATACTATTTATTGCACTGAATTCCATTTATTGGTTTCATCCAACAAGCGAGAATGTTCAAACTCTCATAATATCCTGATTTCAGTTTGAGAGTAGAATTTTATGATGACTGAATAATTGGCAAGTTGGAATAGATACAGGTTTATAACCATAAGGTGAATAAGGTTTCAGGAAGACACAGTTGTCAACATCCCTAACCATCGTGATCTGTATTTTCTCTGTAGATAACGAATGTGGCGCTTACAAAATATTTCTGCATCACAAATCTAAATTTTTCCATTTGTTACTTCAGCTTATTCTTTGAGTCAGGTGAATTTCCTAGCATTTTTGATAATTTTTCATATATTGAGACAGCTTCATTGTTGGCATTTATGAGTCCAATAATTCAGTCTTTTTAGATCCAATAATATCCAGCACAACTTCCCTCCAAGAGTATTTAAATGTTTATGTAGATTTCTGCATTAATATCTTTAGTCTCTGTCCACGTTTGATAAGCGCTCCAAAATCAGAGTATACCATATTATTCCTCTCCAATTGTTTTCCTGCTCCGCATAACTGTACATCAGAAGAGAAAAATGTATTCATTTTTTATTTTCCCTGAGTGATGAAAATGCATAGCCAGCAAAAGTTTGGTTGTTCAATACAATTATTGACGAATTAAGTGTTATTCTGGTCTTCCATGTCATTATTAGTAATTTGTCGAGTAGAACAGCATCCTATTAAATTCTAAATCAAAGTATTAGCTTTTTATATTTCTGCACTAAATATAGTTCTGTTTAATTTTCTATTTAGTTATGACAAAACTACCAAACGTGGTTATCTTGAGTGTTGATTTCCAGATTTCTAGAATGGTTACTGTTTCATCCTGTAGTATATCTGATAAACAAGCTAGTATGGGATCATATACTATCACGGTACTCAGATCTCTCACACAGGGCATTTGTGAATGTAAAACAGATATATTGTTATTATTAATAAAACTTTTAGTTATTAATCTTGTAAACATGAGATCTAAAACCACATGAAAAATATTACACGCTACATTTTGAACGTTTTGTTGTACATAGTGTAACGACCAAAGCCGACGTGTTGTCTCCTGAACGCATGTGACCAATTTTTGTGTACTTCTGTTTAGCTAACCAGAACTTGACTGTGTTAATCACAGTAACAAATTGCCCAAAAAGATTAAAGACAAATTCAGCGAAGAAAATTTTCTGTATCGACGAAACCATCTTCAGAGGCTGTACAGTCGTATTTATATTTGCCAAAAATGTATAGTAGTCTATTATTGAGTAATAAGGGGTGACATAATCGATATAATTTCTCGGAAGTGGCTTTAGATGTAAAAAATAAAAGTTGTAAATTACGTGGTACTCAACGGCACAAAGTTAGAAATTTGATAAGCTTAAAATTGCTATTGAGTGAGAATAAACATAGTTGAGTGTCAACTTAACAAGTGTAAAGGGGGTGTGAAAATGTACAACGGGAACATATGAGAGTGATAATAGTAAATTAATTATTAAAGTAAAAGCAAACTAAAAGTAAAATTTAAAATTAAAAAACTTAACTTTTTTACAGGAAACGACTAGTGAAGAGGTAAAGACCACGGTAGAATAAGAGACCGAACTCAGTAATAGACTACTATACATTTTTGGTAAATATAAATACGACTGTACAGCCTCTGAAGATGGTTTCGTCGATACAGAAAATTTTCTTCGCTGAATTTGTCTTTTATTTTCTTCATAACTGAATGAGTATTTTCTGTGATTTGAAGCAGAGCCCCAACAAAAATAAAAATGCTGTAATTTGTGACAAAATGTGAGGTACTTAGCAATGCCCTTATGGAACTTTATGGATGATATTAGACCCCAGACGCAGAAGTAGTGAGAGTCAAAATTAATATCTTTAAAAAGTGAGATAAAAACTTTGTCAGGAAAAAATCACACTCCAAAAAATTTCCTCAGGTAATTCAAGGTCAGAATGGCCTTGACTAACTCAAAATCATATTAATAACTTTATCTTACAACCACAAGGAGAAGCATTGAGATGAGAGATTGATCAGGAATATAAAACAAATAATAAGGGTTAAGTCAACAGGTAATATGCAAACGTCAGAATAGTGATATACGGTCTGAGAAAAAAAGATTTTAATTACAAAGTTGGTTGTAATCTCCAAATAAGTAGCAACGTTGTAGTTAGATAGTTTGGGAGGAATTTTTAAACAATTATTCCATTAAACATCATGTATCGAATTTACTGCCTTGATTTAGTCTTTCCTTGTAAGCTGCTATATGATTTTAATACATGAATTTTTTCAGCTGCATGTATTACTGAGTATTTATTATATTTCCAAGCCAGTTGAAATCGGAAATGGATAACAGATAGATAGACTCGTAATTACATGTTCGATAAATTGGTGTATCGGCCACCTTACCAGCAATAGATAGTAATAAATGCTTTTACGGGAAAGGATGGCTTAATTTTACCTTACACTTGTTAAATGCAATTTGTGAAACCTGAATAATGAGGTAAGTTAATAATGGACAAAGACAATTAGCACTTTGACAACCAGTTCATCTTTCAGATAAGATCAAAACATGAATTGAAACAGCTTTTATCAAAGTAGAAACGCAAGTAATGAGTATTAATTTGCAAGATAGAAGTGTAATTGACTAGTTAATCAAGTAGCAAAGCCGTTGAAAAAAACCTCCATGCAAACGAGTGGTATACAACTTAGTGCTGATCATAAACTAAAGTGAGAATAAAGTTTTTAAACCATTTATCTGTTAGGTTGGTGTGAAAGTATCGGTTGGGTGCACAATAGTAAGGAATTATTAAGAATTTCCTTATGAAGATACTATTCAGAATACAATTCCATATTAAATAATTTTATTTTATATAGCACACAGTGTTATAGTATTAATAACTGGCTGATATTTTGAGAACAGTTTATCGCCCATAATCATATCACTGTGATGACTGACAAAATATAGAGATTTCTGTATGATTAGTCAACTCCAGTATCACTGTGAAGTATGCCTGTATTAGCATTGATATTACTTCTTAAAAGATGATAACGATTAGTTAGGTCGATCATTTGAGCTGAATTAACCTAAATGATTCCATTTTACCCATTGTGAATTTTAAACTTACACCTCATTGAAATCTTTTTGGCTTAACAGTTGGTCAAAAACTATAAGCAAATATTTAATATCTTTAGAAAACTTTTCATAATTTCAAAGGCATAATTTTAATACTTTTTATGATAAATACTGGGAAATTACAGGCAAACAAAATGCAAAGTTATAGTGTCATCTAGGTTTTAGTTCGTGATGAAAGATTTTCAGTAATAATCGAAACCACGTCATACAAAAATAACGTAGATAACGATGGTAAATATGAACTATTTGACAATAGATTATTTTTAATGAAAAACTAGTTCTTTAATTATTCAGTGAATCTAATAACGGCATTCAGAAACTAAATTTTACCACCTGCAACTATAAAATTTATTGAAAAAGCAAATAACCAGTCTGAAATTCATTTAAATTTGTAAAGAGACGATGTTTGTCAGGACAATACATTTAAACGCCCAGCTTATGTGCGAACTAAGTATGCGAATCACCCTTTAAAGTTTGAGACTTCTTTCAAAAGAACTACAGCTGATGAAGAATATGAGAAGCAAAAATATATGACTGAATACCATTGTTTATCATATTTTCTTTTATTCACTCTCAGTGGCAATGAATTCTTGCTTGCTTTATAAACATGCACCAGTGACAAACAGAATAAATATTAAAATATTATTGTATCAGAAGAAAAACTGAAATATCCAATAGCTTTAAAATTTACTGCAAAGCACAGGCTCTTATGACCTCTAGTTAGTGTATTTATTAATACGTTTGTTAAATAATCAACGGAGCATTTTACTTTTCAAAAGCCTTTCTGTTGGACAACTGAAAATGTCACTGGCATGAGTTATGAAAACAAGAACTCGAATTAATTTTTGTGGTAACTATTCATACTTCTGTGTTATATATAAATGAGTAAAGAGTACTGAAAATCAATAAAAAAAAATTAGGTCAGACATATAATATTATCGAATTCAGTGTGATTACATTGGTTGGTTCTTTAATATTTGTATACACGTGTGCTGAACAAATTCCTTGGGTATATATTAGCAGATGTTCTGTTTCTAGCATTTAGTAACTACATTAATGGTTAGTGATGATACTCAAAAGAAAACAATCCTATGGAGTTGTTGCTTCTAAGAAATCAAAACTTATTTTCATAGTAGCTGTTATGTTTTTTCAGTTATCATCAATAACAATTTACCGTTACTATGCAATATCTAAATTATTTGAAGAAGAATTCGTGGAACCTGAGATAATGTATAATATGGACACATTACGAAAATGCACACAGTCTGAGAATAAGTGGCTTCAGTGTATTAAACAACTGAATAATTTAACCAGAGTAAGCAATGCTAGAGTACGTGGATTTGACTCATCAGTTCGTTTAATTCGTACACCTATAAACTGCACATTTTTGGATATACAGATTCCATTTAAAATAAATAATAAACATTATTTAAATGTAACTTTAAATGAACGCTACATACTACCTAGAAGTTCTTCAGTTGCTAAAAACGGAAATCTGACTATAAAAGCAGTCAGTACAAATAGGCATTGCCCAAAATATTTCAACGTGAAAGAAGCCTTAAATGCTATACACAAAGGTTTACCTCAGAAAGAAGTAAGTTTTATAGAATATTTGTTTTAGTTTTATAAGTGCAGAAGTGTCTGGTGACCGTATTATTTAACTCATGGGTCACTAAATATATCACCGAATAGGATATATCAATTCTTGTTAGCTTATTGATAATCGCCATTTGTGATTTATATTGAAACTAATTATCGCAAATTTTTTTAGTGTATTTTTACTCTAAATGTAAAAAAAGATTATCGTATGATGGTAAATGATACATAGGGTCAAAGACCTAAACTCAATTGACGCACACTTATAAATTCGCATTTCTTTTATTGTCGATCAAATCTTAAGTTATCTATCAAAGTTTAGTCGTTTTTTTCTGTTCACGCTAATTCCTAGGGACTCATTATAAAAATGTTCATGCCTGTTTAAGCACTTATTATTATTTCAAAATCACTATAATTTATAAAATCCTAGTTTTAAAGAAATATTCGACAGTTAACTTTTGATGATCAGCCTTAGGCCATGTTTTTCTACAACCCTAAAAATTTACATGTAATCTGTCTGTTCGAGAAAGTGATATATGACTGTTTGCACTACTTAACGCTCTTCATAGCATTTGATGATCATGGAGAAAAAATGAATGGGTTTAAGCTAAAATAGCAAGGCTAATAGCAGTTTTTATCTTGAAAAAGAAATGATGAATGAATATAAAATGGAGGCTGCATATAATTAGTTAGGAACACAAAGCATTACTAATGTATGCTTTAATCTGACTGCCTATATAATTAGGACTGTAGGAAAATAATGTCTTCTAGCTGAGAAGAGCGAACACTATTTTTACAAAAGTTTAAGTTATTTTACCTTTAATGACACCAAACGTACATCTGTCATCATTTGGTCAGTGTTAAATCTTGTCATATTGTATCGTTTTCAGTAGATGGACTTTTTAAGCTTAGTTTACTCGCAATGTATCCTTTATTATCTTCATACACCAGGTGAAAAACCATGACTCGGTATATTACACTTTCACAATCTTAATTTCATCCTTAGTCAGTCACACTTCCTGGTATACATTATATGAGCAATTTTATGTATAACTCAGTAGCCAAAAACTTCATATTCTTAAATAAAGTGCTTTGTAGTACAAGTGCTGCTCTACATTTACCACAGATATTCGGCATTTCTGTGAACAAATTAATTAACGTATACTAATAGTATTTTTTTCTAATTTAAAGTTTAAAACCATTTTGTCAAATCAAGTAACACTCCAGCTACCATGTCGAAGTCAATTTTTTCTTGAATTACAATAAGAACATATTATACGGTTCAAAGAGAACTGAAGTCAACTCCAACTGATCAAACTTGAGATCCTAGAGTTGGTAAAGGGTTGAACCTATAAACAATAGCTAATTCCTTCGGGATTGTAATTTCGTCTAGCTGTTGTGTTTTAAAAAATAAACACTAGACCTAATTAAGTCTTTCTACGTGTTGATTGTCTCCTGTAGGACAGTTTATTCGTCAAATATAATGAATGGCTCATGCAGTACACAGGTAGTCTGCATGGGCCTTTGAAACATTCCCCATCCTCTTGCCTAGATAAATCAGTACATTCAGTTGAACAGTAATAATGAAATTAAAGAATATATATAAAAACAGCAATTATAAAAAAAATATCTCAGTGCTGGTTTTAACCTTGGTGTGCCCAAAAAAATCTCTGCAGCCAAGTAGTCTAGGACCTGGACTATCAACTGATGTATTATATCATAAAGCTGCTTCAAGTGCTAAATTTCATTTCTTCTCATATAAACAACAGATCCCAGACACAAAATTGGGAAGGTTGTCTTAAACAGTTGCTGATACTCCTGAAGGTGATGTTTGAACTGGTATAGACGTTTCTGCCTGTTCAAAGCAGAAGATATACACTATGATGGTGGCAAGCAGTAGAATCTAGCAAGAGCTTTTCGTCATGTAACAATATGTTAACATCAAAGAGTGGTTTAAGGGACAGCATAAGGTGCCAACATGTTAATACAGCCTGACAATTTGGGTCCAATAAAATCAAGCAATTAGAAATTCAGATAATGAATTCAATAAACTTCAAATATCCAGCTTCCTTAAGTTTTCTTAATAGCCATAACCACACAGTTTATACAGAAATTTCCTGAAACGGTTAATGAATCTCAGGGATATTTTGTACACCAACATATCTTTAAATGAAAACATATTGACTATTAGACTGCTTACACCTTCCAAGAATGATACCTTGGATACATTGTAACGTTTGCGACATATACATTCACTAAACTAAACATTTATGTAATGCATTCATCGATGCGGATCACATCTGCCCAATAGGCTAAAGAATAGCTCTAGACACTTTGTATGAATGACCATTTATATCTAAGAACAAGAATCTATATGTAGACGAATTCCCACATACGAAAAAATACACGTCTTCAGTATCAATGTTATATAAAGAATTACACAATAGGGCATGAAGGAGTGACAGTGTGGGAATGAAACTTTCACTTTTAAAAATAAACTAAGACTAAACGGTGGATTAGCATTCGTTTCGAAGTAGCGAACAAAATTTTCCTTTAAATATTCCTTTATCAATGGGATTTAGAGGCTTTTGAAGTGAATATTACGCTACTATGAATACACAAAAAGCTAGGATATAAATAAAACTCACCAGTCAAAACAATCAAATTTTTTCTATTACTCATGAAATGAGTAAAACACAATTAGGTGGAATGTGGATCTAATTTGTACTTGTCATCATCAGTTACATCTCTTTTTATCTTAAATCAAAATAAGAAGCTTAAATAAGGGATGAGCATGAGAAAAGCAGTTAGATGCAAATGAATTCTGTACGTTCTATTTTCAGAGTAAAGGCCAGCTGGTGATCACAATCCATGTAATCATGAATAATTCAGTTTGAACAAAGCAGTAACAACACATGGAGAAAGATATACTTCTCTAACTTCTTAATAACTTTTCAATTTGTTCTTTGTCCACGGGGCCATGAAACTTGTTGTCGCGACATACTCTATTGTAAAACTAGATATAAATAACACATTAGTTCAACAAATGATAAGTCCAAATGAAACTGTTAAATGAAAAGACTTTCATTCACTTCTTACCATTGGTAAAACTTATTGAAGCGAGAACAGTAAATTTAAGCATATGACAAAATATTACTTCGATTTTTTATAGTGCTTGTCAGTACAGTGTGAAAATAGTTTCACTTTAAAATCATATATCTTATGTAATATAGTATTTAAATTGTTTTAGATCTAATAAAGTATAATTCTATTTCAATAGTTTACACACAATGATAAGTTTTGTTATTGGTAATATTTCGAGCAAAATTACTTCCCGTGTTCACACCACTGTTGGAATTGTTTCATTCACACATTTATGATTTGTACTCATATATATAGTTCATTATTTTTTTGCTCATTCATGTTTTTGTATTCAGAATTATATTCCAAGTTGTTAATAGTTGTACTGAGTCACCCTTGTTACATGTATCCGGTGTGACCTTAATGAATATCGATTCTGTCATAAGTCTGTTATGAGTCCCATGCATGTGCAGCTGCACAAATAATAGGCTCTTTACTGAAACAAAGTATCTCTATTGTGCGATAAAAATATCAATTATTCAATGAGGTAAAAGTTTTAGATCTCAGAACCCGGCTGCACATGCATGGGACTCATAACAGACTTATGACAGAATCGATATTCATTAAGGTCACACCGGATACATGTAACAAGGGTGACTCAGTACAACTATTAACAACTTGGAATATAATTCTGAATACAAAAACATGAATGAGCAAAAAAATAATGAACTATATATATGAGTACAAATCATAAATGTGTGAATGAAACAATTCCAACAGTGGTGTGAACACGGGAAGTAATTTTGCTCGAAATATTACCAATAACAAAACTTATCATTGTGTGTAAACTATTGAAATAGAATTATACTTTATTTGATCTAATCCACAATGCTCAAACGTTTTACTGATATTGTTTTAGATCTTATGGTGTTGACTAGAAAGGAAGAAACAAAATTAAATTCAATTATCTGCCTAAATTGATTGTTTAAATCCTCTAGAGTGTAATGCTTCAGTTTTGCGTGTTCTGATTTAGAGGTAAACAATAAGGGAATGGGATCAGTAAGGCAAATCTGTTATCATAAGTTACGTTTGTTTCAATAGCTCTAAGTTTATTAGTCTTCCACAAATGTAATCATTTTACAATTATTTTTGCCATGTTAATTTCTCTAATTCTTTAGAATCATTTACTCACTTATAGACAATTTATTTCGACTGTTCAAATTTATTAGTTCATTTTGGATAGTAGATTACAGTTTACGTTAGATAAGTTAATTTTAATAATCACACAGTGATACAGTATTAACAAATGGATGACGTTTCGAGCATAAATTATTGCTGCTCATTATTATATCAATCAAAAGACAGAAAATATATATTAGACAAATTGTGACTAAAATTGATATGATAATGAGCAACAGTAATTTATGCTCGGAACATCATCCAGTTGTTAATACTGCATCACTGTGTGGAACTTAAAAATAAACTTATCGAATATGGAATTACGTTCTACCACAGTGCTCAAGTTCTACATTTACATTAAAGTTTACGTTATTTATTTAAAAAGATGAGTAAATTAGTTAACTAATATTTTTATTTCTCAATAATGAACTCTGAAATGTCATAGAACTTATTACATTAGTCTTTTCATATTAATGTTAAACAAATAAGCCAGCACAAACAGATTACATTTGTCTGCCAGTGTGTTGCTAGAATATATTCAAATGGATTATTTTTACTTTCCATTTTAGATGCCAGTCAACGGTGAACCGATTATTATTGTTCGAATTCCAAAGAAGACATGCAATCCTCTAGAACCGACTGATAAATTAGATCTCATAGTGATGGTTAAATCCTGTATTTATTGTTTCAGTAAGCGGTCATATGCACGAGAAACATATATGAAATTAAATTTATGGAGAGATTTAAAAGTTCAGTTCGTTTTTGTGGTGGGGTTACCAACACCAAACGAAAGTGACATCTATCACTTTGAAGGAGTGAATGTGAATCTTTATCGGGACGCCTTGAAGTTATCAAAAATATATGCAAATTCACGATGGTTGGCAGCTAAAAAGCTAGAAAATGAAAGTAAGGTGTATCAAGATATGTTAATTGGATCATTTTATGACACATATTTCAATTTAACACTAAAATTGATGCTAACATACCGATGGGCTGCTACGTTTTGCGATCAAAAAACCCCGTTGTATATCTTTATTGATGATGATTACGTCCTTTTACCAAATAATACGATTAATCTGGTCAGAAAACTGAACGCTTCATTCATAAAATCGATTATAGGAGGACCAGTGCATCCTTCAAGTGTAGTAGCAAGGCCATCAAAAGACTACTTTCACTTGAAGTGGGCAGTTTCGGAAAGAGAGTACCCATGGGAATATTATCCTCCCTACTTTTACGGAACCGGTTATATTTTGAGTTCTACTATTATTAATGATGCTTCTTTAGCTATGGCTTTTACACAAAATATCCGTATTGATGATTCATATTTAGGAATTGTATTAAGCAGATTGAATAAAACACTAACTGATATGAAAGAATTCCAGATAGACGCAGAAGAAAAACAGATAGAATCAGGAGCTGTTATTATTCACACTGACGTTGCTGAAGATATAATTGACTGGAGTACTGGTCAAGTCAAAAAAACTTAATCATGTCCTATTGCATTTTGCATATTATTTAATTCGCAGATTCCTATTTTTATATACAAATCATAGTGTACATTATCTTACAGATACTTAAATAAACGAAGGCATATGATGTTACAAGGCATAACGGTTAATGATTTTTAAGCCAGATTCTGAGATTTAAAACTTTTACCTCATTGAATAATTGATATTTTTATCACACAATAGAGATAATTTGTTTCAGTAAAGAGCCTATTATTTATAAATACTTCTCTCTTAAGTTAATTTCATTAAAGGTTCGAATGTTCCTCTCTCAGATTTGATTAAACTGAGAAGTGGTTGTTGTGTAATAACATACAGTATTCAATACTTTATTCATCAAACAGTTTTCGTTTTCCTGATTCCATGTCAATTTAATTATTTGATGTATCGCATAGTTATACCTAGTTATGTACTTGGTAACATTTCAAAGACAATTTATTAATCATGATGACATCAAAGTGATAACACAACTTTCAAAATTAGTTTCAATGATTCCATAAATTCTTATTCCATTGTTTTTATTGGTAGCAGGATTTTCCGCATCTCTTCAATGAGTGTTGAAACATTCCAGTCACGCACACTTCGCATTGATTTAATTAATAAAGATTCAGTGACTATTCATTCTCTCCAGTTACCTCTACCAAACTCTAAATTTTTCGTCCTATTTCACCTCTTAGTGTGACCAAAGAATACTGCATGCATGGGTAGATTTTCTAGGTTACACTTATTTTACTTGAATCCATCACTCTGTATTTATCTCAGTCGTTTTCCTCCGATAATCTTGGTGCCACAGATCACTTACTTTGAGCTATGTATTTGACGCCACAGTCATTACAGAGTATTCAATAGATCAAGTTATTTTGTCTAACTTTGGTTGATTGAGTTTTAAGGTATAAACGGTACCATCATTCTAGAAATTTTATGAATCGTACAAAACATTTCCAGTTTCACTAACGTTGTTATTCATTTTTTTACATTTCTAACATTTTACATTTCTTTCTAACATTTAAATGAATTCACCAGGATGAGTGAAAGCCCCTTAGATACTTTTAGATTTTTTATTTCAATCTCTTTTCTTTAAGCGTTTCACCAAGCTTGCCTTCAAAAATATAGGCAGGAAGGAAGCGGAATTTAAGCGTCTTTCGGAATGTATTCGCTTTCAGTATAATTTTTTAGCTAAACTATCATATCCTCTTCATTTTTCTTTACAAGCTACAATTGGTTGTTATTTTTTATTTTCTAATCTAAAAATGAACTGAATTTCATTTAGTTTGGAGTACATATCAGCTTTTGTATCATCCGAATATATCCATTATACATCTGTTTATAAAGACACTTGTTACTATGATGGTTATTTTGCTCTCATAGTTTTTTCTACTTTTTGATGTTTTCTGTTTTGAAATTTAAGAAAAACGATTCATTTCAGACATGACTATATTTTTAACGTAACTCCATCAACTGATAACTTGAAATTACTGCTGATTTCATGATTTACGCCGAGTCCATTTCTTGGTATCGCAACAGCCTTACTTATTGATCTACATCAATCTGGACACTTGTCATGGCAAAACATAAACTAAACAATATGCAATTAGAAACGGATGGATAGGACTTTACTTTCGGTAGATTTCTAAATATGATACAGTTGTTTTAACAGCTGCCAACGTAATAACTCGTGAAATTTTACAGCACAGCTTAACGACATCATTTAAATACAGTTAACGTTTGTAGAAACTGCTCATATGTTGCAAAAGTACTTCAGAAGCTGGAGGGAACTTGAAAGGGATGAAAGACATCTTCGAGTATTTTGAATAATTCAAAAAAATACAAGTATTCACTTATTCAATACCTAATGAAAAATATTTGAGAGTTTTCTGTGAACTAGATAATCATTTATTATAGTTATTTATTTGTGTTAGTGATTTCTATCTGATATGTCTGACCGAATCGATCAGCCCCTTTTTTGATATATGCGTTTTTTCAACAGATGCCACGATATTATCAGGACTAATAACTCGAAGTCACTTGTATGGTGGTGGCTAGTAGGAGAATCCAGAACGCACTTTTTGCCTCAGATAGAAAGATTCTAATTAGCAGAACAAATAACTGTTGAATAACGGAATTATTTGCATTAAAATGAATCAAATGATTCCAGATCACTCAGGTTTACCATACTGATAAAAACCAGCTGCACGAAACAGGAACACATGTGATTGTGTAGAAATGAATTCGAGCTATCCTGAACCGAAATAAGTGCATTACACTACAGAATATGCTGGTTCAGCACTCATATCTGACACTAAACTCATTCAGCACAGTTGTAGGTATGTGCTAAAGAAAACAAAACTGATAAACTGGAATGGGCAAAACAAATATTGAAAGGTATACAGCTATTTGTAATGTGAAATTTCCGACTAATGTGATTCAGTCAACTAGCTGGCATCTTATTCTTTTGGATCATGAAATTTTGGGGAATTTCGATAATATGTTTACTAGACAAACTTGATCTTGGTTTCCGAAATTTCGTTTTAAAATAACGGTAACTTTGGGGCTTTTTGTAATTTCCCCTTCCATATATGTATTCGTTTTACAGTTTTTATGATATCCTGAAACATAAAGGCTTTTACTGAATCAAATAAATATATCACAAAGTGATGCTAAAAGTCAAAAAAAGTATTGATAAAGAAGTCCATAGACTCATTAACAAGAATTTACACAGTTTTCATTGACATTACCGCAGATTATCAACCTGACTAGACATAAAGGTGAATAACCGACGGATTTACAACAGAATACTAAGAAAACCAAACTTTGACATAACTTTATTGGAATTAGTAGGCAAAAGATACAGATTATTTACTCATGTTTGACATTACCCACTGACTTTTTTAGCAGATAATTAAAATGGTATAGTTTTAAAATCTTTGTGAACAAAATCAGTTAACTGTTTTTATGAATTTCGACGAAATAAGAAAGTAGACATTCTTCAAATCAGGCAATTTTGAATCCTTTTTTTAACTCATAGAGGCGTTCTTGAATAACGTAAATATTTTTGAGTCAGTGGTTCATTCAACGGAATTTCGAGGAAATAATTTGTTTTTCTCATTGGTATATAATTGATGACTGAAAGTCCTGTTCGTCTGATATAATCATCCGCATGAATATCTGATTACTACACACTAATTTTAACCAAATCAATACGACTGTTCTTACATAGTGTGATGTATGTAAAAAAAAACAGGTTTGAAACGTAATTTTATGACGTCATTAAGCTGGATGAAACAAAATCGCCATTGGTATATAAAGTCAGCAATAAAGGAAGAGATATTTTACACCAAAATCTGATGTTACTGTTGACGGCATTTCAATACGTCTTTCGAAGTATGAATTAAGTGAGCCTAAATTTTTTTCAGCTTTAGAAAACACATGGCAGTCTGCACACTGTCCAGTTTTCACTTTCATTAAACAAGCGAGATATAACAGATCGCTTTAATCATCTAACTATTATGAATCCGTTATTTCTATTTTATTGTTACTTCAATCCATTTAACTTGAGCACCGCTTCATTTTCCAGAAATTTGTTACACAAATATTTAAACGAATATCTACTGGTACTTAATAGTGATTAAAACAGATTTTAAGGTTGTGATATTTTACAAACCTCGAAAAGATCATTCACAGGTCAAATGAGGTCATTGATGTTCAAAACAAATAAGCTAATTAACAAATTACACGTACAATGGGGATTATAAGATCAATTAAAAAAATATTGAATTTATTTTCACAACAGTTAAATACTTGTTCATTTAATCATTAAGTACCTTAAATTGAAGATGCTGACAAGAAGTGAGTACTTTAGGGTGACTTTGAAGGCAAATAACTGGTTTATTGTAGTTTTAAAATTATTAATAGTTTAAAGCAATTAATTCTTTTTGTGAGTTTCAAAAGAAAAAAACATTTGTAAAATGACGTAATATATCTTAAAAGTCTAATGTATTTGTACAAGACCTTTAACGTATTCTGACCACACACTTACTCGTCATGGATATTTATATAAAAGTCAGTAGAGTGTAAAAGGTCAGTATCGAGTCAATATAGGTCAAAATGTTTATCGAAGGGTGGAAGTCAGAATCAAGCAAAACAACGAAATACCGGTGTACTATTATTTCGTAGAAAAGAAAACCCTGATTTTAAAGTTGGATTACTAATGTAATGACACTAGCAAAATCAACTTGGTGATTTGCTTGTGTGATATAATTCCCTTTTTAGTGTTATTTCAGTTACGTGGTTTTACCTGTTCTTGTGAATGAGTCTTATAAACTTTACCAGCATAGGTCGATGGGGCCTTCCTATTTACGTATGGCGACACTTATACGTGGATAGGTGGACACAGTGGGATGTGATACTATTGTAAAAATACAGAATAAGGATTCCATTGATGTTCTCCACACAAAATATTCCCACTCCGATTGAATGCGTCGTCGGACGCAACGAAGGATCGAATCCGTGGGTAGACAGGGTTAAGGAGTTTCAAATTAGTACGGAATAGTTTTCTAGTGCTCATCGATTTCCAATGATTCTCTAAATAATATTTGTTTATAGCTAAACCTATATATATATATATATATATATATATATTGAAACTGTTTAACAATAAATAGTTGAAAATATTAAAACGCTCTAAAAAATAACGGTACCACTATATGATGAGTAATCACATTTGATTACTTCAAGTAGTCACCTATAAAGTGACCTGCAGTTTGTTTACACGTTAATATTAGATAAAGAGGTAAAGGGTCACTTGTAACAATCTGTGCTTATAGCATGATGACATATGTGGGTAGTTTGAAACCTTTGATGATAGATAGCTACGTGAAGCTGAACTAAACATTATCTGACTATTTCACTCATCCTCAGTCTGTCTCGTTAGATTCAGATGACAATAAGCATCTAAACAGCTGAAAGTGCGAGAGATAGGGAAG